TCGGTTTGATCTTTCTTTTTTTCACAGACTTTGAGCTTTATGTTTGAAATATTAAATTGTAATAAAGTTTTTGAAAGAATGAGTAAATCCATGGTTATTCTTGTTTAAATGATTTTGGTGTTTACACTTATTAATTCTGAATTTTAATCTCTAGTTTAACAGCCAGCTTTGCTAAGATTTAAAATTTTAGGATCTGTGTTTGTTAATAATTAAAGGGGCCAACTTTGATTATTATCAAATCACTTGAAAGATTGAACCAATTAGATTTTAATTGTTAGCACTATTAGAAAAATGTCTTTTAGTGATCACAGCAGTGATTACTATATATAAAGGAAAGCGGTCATTGAATGAATCAATGACCACAATTTATAACTGATAAAATCAGTCAAAAAAAGGCTCGTTACTAATTTATTTATTTATTTATACTATTTTTTACTTAAGTATAATAGGGTTTAGTTTTCAAGTGCTTTCAAAACAATTTTTTGGATTTTAATTGTTTATTGATAATAAAATTTCCTTTTAAATCAAGTAAAGAAATTAAATAAACAATCATATCCAATCTTCTCGTGAAAACGATAAACGAGATGAACTTATCAATTGTTACGAGTGGTTCGTTTGTTCACGAGTGAATCTAAAAATATGTTTTCACGTCTGCCCAAAATAATGAAACCACCTTGTGGATTGAGAAATTACATTGACCTCCCTTGTCAGCATGTCTTGAGCACGCATAATGTATAAAAATGATAAAACTTGTACTCCCCAACTGTTTGAATTTAATCAAGTTTGATCAGTGTAAGCTAGAACTTTTGCATTGGGAGGCTCGAAGGTGCATTCCACAAAATTAAGGAAGCTCTTGGAAGGTGTCATAATATTTTAGTCCCCCTACATTTGAATATTTTAAACAACTTTGTAAAAATACGTGCAAACTTAGCAAGTTTTCGAAATTTGGGGGCTTATGTGGCGTTTTCTATAAAACTGAGGTAGGATCTACAAAATTTAGGAGGGCAGCCTTGAAATTTTAAAATGTTTAAGTAAAAATAAAAAAATAAATGTAAATTTAGTAAAATTTTAGAAACTTTGAAAGCCAGGGTTCCCCGCTGGCTCCCCCTTCTCTTCGTCCCTCTGTTTATTTGCCCTTGGGAATGGCTAGGAGGTCCCCATGTGCTAGCACTAGACCAGAGAGAAGTTAAAGTAATATATATATATATATATATATCTTCGGTGTGTGAGCGTGTGTTAATTTTTATTTTTTTATTTTTCTAATTTCCTTACATAATCTGTTAACTAGAAGCATGGGAGAAATTTGTAGGCATCTCTGAAAGCATGGAAAGCTGCCTTTGGAGCAACCAGAGGCATCCCAGTCATCAAAATACCGAGTGGAATGACACTCTTAATGAGCCCTCTGGCATTTCAAGGTCCTTGCAGATCTCCAAATGTCCACATACAGGCACACATTTCATTATATAATTCAATATTTCATTGTAAATTTATAAACTCTCCATTTTAGTCATTCCAATTAATTGTAAAATTCCAAAATTGGTTGTTACGTATGGATGAAATTTTCTCAAGAAGGTTAAAATAGAGGCCTTCGTTAATACCTCAATTGATATTTTGCTTCTGTTATTAGAAATGGTAATTCAATCCCCATAAGTTGCCCTTTACATTTTGCTCTTAGTCCTTCTTATGCATAATTATGAAACAAATAATAGATGATAGAAAATGATTGCGTGGCAATCCATGGTGGGTGCTCTAATGTCAACATTACCTTTTAGGAGTAGAAGATTTTAATTATAAGATAAATAAGAAAGAAAAATTAAAAATTATAATGATTAAGTTGTAATTTTGAGGCCTAAAATTATCGTGGGTATAAAGTAATTGCCTTATTTGCCTTATCCTAAAACCGGCATTAGTAAGTGTCAAAATCTTTTACTCCTATGGCTCAGATTAGCTGCAGCAATTATTTACTTGTATGTATTTATGTTAAGTTCTTTATAAGTTTATTCTTATAAATCGTGAACTGTAATCATAAAATATAATAAGATACAATGTACACTCTTAAAGTATTATAATGTAATACTTATCTCTCTAAATTATAAAATGTAACATTTTACCTTCTAAGTTTGTAATCACGGTTAAAAATAATTAATGGATTACTTATATTACTATAATATTTCTTAACCAGTAAGTTTTTTAACCAATTACGAATATTTAATTAAACAAAAATATTTTGAATATTGGCATGAAAAGCAAAAACCTTAATAAATTGGTTGTCATAAGCAATAAATAATAAGTAAATTTTTATTATTCTTCTTAGTACTATTTAGGACATTCCCATTATTAATTTAAATATCTAATACTTTTTATTTTATAATAACTATTTTATCTAAATAAATAATTACTTATTTATAAAACAAGTATTTATGTACTTTAAGCAATTTTAAATAATTAAAATAATCTATTAGTCCCGTTAGTTAATTCCTTGATTACTGATACTAAGGCAATTCTTAACTAATTAATTATAATTAATCAATTTTAAGTAATTATAATTATTTTTACAATGAAAGTTGTTAGTTCACTAGCATTTACTAAATTATGAGCAGTATGAACAGTGTGAGCTAAGGGGTTAATTTTATGGAGTCTTAATTTTTTTTTTTTTGGTTATATTGAAAGTTGATATTTTATAGATTGGTTTAACGAAAAAATTTTTAATTAGTACCCTTTCTTTGTGTGAAGTCTTTTATTTTATAGATAACATTTCCTAAATTATGAGCAGTGAACAGTGTAGGCTAAGGGATTAATTTTATGATGACTGTTAATTTCTTTTATTACAATGAAGGCTATTATTTTGTAAATTAGTTAAGATATAGATTTTTTAATTAATTATAAATTATTTTTGTTACAATGAAGGTATTTATTTTACAAATAACATTTACTAAATTATAAATAGTATGGAGAGGGTGGATTATGAGATATTATGGTAATATAAACAAGTAGATAATCCTGTTAATTATCTTTAACTGTGATTGAGAGGGTAAAATTATTACATTTTATATTTTAGGAAGGTAAGTGTTATAAAAGATAAAGTATATTTTACCCTATAAAATAGAATGACCATAGCCCATCATTTCCACAATAATTCTCATTCCAACCAGCGGTGACTTCCTCTCTTAATAAGGAGTAAAAATTCCAGTTCTGGATGTGAATATACATTTGCATTTTTAACTTACCTTTTCAATATTATTCTGGAATTAAAAGTAAAATGAAAATTAAAATTTAGCAAAAATGCCATGCAGCCTCAGACTGCTATTTATAGGTGGCTTGATCGGCCGAGGTGAGATGGCAATGCACAATTCAGCTTCACCCATCTCCTTTTTCTACACAGCAATGGTGGGTACCTCTTTGCATTACACGTTCTGAATTTACATTATTCAAACCATTTTCTAAAGTACTTTCTTACTATAAATTAAGTATCCAATCACTTCTTTCATGGCGGTGAAAGTTGAAATCAAATAATATTAGTGGATTGTCGTAAAAATCTATCAAGTAAAATAGCTATTATTCAAATTTTGAAAAATTAATTGATTGTCAGATCATGTCACCTTACAATGACATATTTTTTCTTAATTAATGCTAACATTTGTTATGTTTTCGGAACGCAGGCTCCACGTTTTGCCTTCTTGGTGATATGTATTGCGTGGTTTAGTCTAGGTGGTAGCCGAGCGGCTGTATTTGACGTAACAAAATTTGGTGCTGTGGGTAATGGCCGAACCAATGACTCACCGGTAAGTTCTCTATTTACTCCCTCTCACCAACTGTTTGTTTTATTTATTTATTTATTTATTGCTTTGGAAATGAATTAACCAAATGCATGGAAAACAATTTACAGGCATTTCTACGAGCATGGAACGCAGCATGTGGATATACCAGAGGAGGCACCCAAATTATCTGGGTGCCCAAGGGAAAGACATTCTTTTTGAAACCCCTGGCTTTTCAAGGCCCTTGTAAATCTAGAATTATCCAAGTACAGGTGTGTATATATAGTCATTTATTCTCAATTTCCATTATTTTTTCCTGAGAAAAGAAATTATGCCTAGGCTTTTTCAATTGGTCGTTGCTTACTCATAAAGAACACTTCTTCTATGAGAGTGGATCCATCTCTCAAAAAAAGACCCATCTTCTATTTTTATTAATAGAACAAGAAAAAAAATGAGTTAAATAATTCATAGAAAAGTCCATTTTTTTCAAAATATCAAAAAAATCAAAAATCATTCTATGTAATTTATTAAATACCAAGTAGGGTTATCGATGGGTTAGATTTAATCTAAATCTGATCTTAGTTCGATCTGAACTTTAAAATTTAAATTTGATTAAAATATTTAATGGATTAGACCTGATTATAAATATTTATAATCTGAAATAAATGGATCGACTATGAAATTAAACAATTTGATCTATCAAAGATTTGAATCTAAATTTTCATAATATTTTTTATTAAATTATTAATTATATATAATATTAATAAATTTAAATTTATATGGACTAAATTAAAAAAATTATAAAATTGAGAGACTAATATAATTGATGGAATAGAGTTGAATGACTTAAATGAAAAAGAGTATTATTTTCTTGTCAGATCAGATTTTCTTATCAAATTTCAGATTATCTATTGGTTTCAGATATAATTTAACTGATACAAATCTTATAAAATCTTGGATCGTTCACATATGAAAATGGGTATTTAGATTTGGATTCGAATTTATCTGATTTGATTTAAATTCGACATATTTATAACCTTAATACCAAGCATCATTTTGTTGAACTGTAATAACTTATCAAATTTTTTGACGGATTCGATCAAAAATTTTTAAATTTTTTCCCCCTAGATTTTGGGGTCTCTTGTGGCACCCAGCCAAAAGAATCAATGGTCAGGCTGCAAAGCAACAGTTGGATTTTTTTCCAAGGAGTAAAAAATCTCAATGTAAATGGGAATGGATTGATAGATGGCAAAGGTCAATCCTGGTGGCAGGGAGGCTCCCCCAAAGCTGCTGTAAGTTACCTCTTTGGTTTTTCTTTTATTTTTATTCTTTTTGGATTTTTCATCTAATACGTGAAATATATTACTTTAAATAAATTATTAACCTCAAATTTTCTTTTCTTTTTCCTCAGCCAAATGGCGTCTGCGATCGACCAACGGTAAAATTGCGTCTTCTGTTTGATGTTACATTGGGTTGCCATTGAAGTGACCTTGGGTTGGATGCTAGTTGATAAACTGCTGGGTCTAGGGGGCCTATTTGGGCCCTTAGTTGGAGGATTCGAGAGTTGTTTAAGTAAAAACGCATATTTTTGGAAACATCATTCCCTGGAAAAAATTGGCAAGAATATTGACTATTTTTGCGGGTCCAATTTCAAAATATTGTGAATTTAATTTTTATTTTTAACTTTTAAATTTATTCAGGCTGTGACATTTGAAGGATGTAATGGGCTTCAACTGAGGGGATTGCTTATTCAAAATAGCCCAAGGAACCATATCAGTATAGACGGCTGCAATGGTACACAGGTCTCTGGCCTCACATTATATTCACCTGGAGATAGCCCTAACACCGACGGAATTGACATGGCTCACTCAACCCATGTTTCTATTACTAATTCCAACTTTCACTGTGGTAATTAATTTCAGTTCCATCAATACCTTCACCAAAACTTTTTCTTTTCCTTTGCTTTTGTTTTAAAAATTAATGTATATAATAAAAATAAATATGTATTTTCTCTTTCTTAACTTAATATATATAATAAAAAATTAATTATATATGTAGGTGATGATTGCATTGCTATCAACTCCGGGTGCTCGGACGTCAACATAACAGGTGTTTCATGCGGGCCTGGCCATGGTATAAGGTAGATAACGAAAGCAACCTGCCGAATAAAATTAAAAATTAAGTGTTGAATTTTTAAATATAAAAATTTAAATTATGCATAATAATTCTAAGAATACAAATCTAAGTATTTTTATTTATTTATATTTAAAATTCACAATTCTTTTTAGCCATTTCGTATATAAATAAATTAAGTACAAAATCTAATTTAAGGGGTTAAATTATGTCATTAAATAAGTTCTAACTGTAATTGTTTAATATATTAATTAGATTTATGATTAGATATTGTCCCCGTGAATTGGATTAAGTTATTACTTTCTTTCTCCATGCACAGTGTGGGAAGTCTAGGAAAAGATGGAGACTTCGCTCAAGTGGATTCTATACGCGTAAATTACTGTAACTTCACAAACACATTAACCGGAGTCAGGGTTAAGACATGGCCGGTATAATATTTACCACCTAAGCTCCTGCGAAAGGTTCAAAAAATAGGAGAAGAGCAAATCAAACAGTTGTTAATGTTTGCACTCTGGTTTTTCAGGGAGGGACTGGGTTTGCCAAGAACATCTTCTTCGACCATATCTTCATCAACGCGGCCTATCATCCCATTATCATCGACCAACATTATTGCAACGGCGCAAGTTTTTGCCCAGAGAAGGTAATAAGTTTTATGATGTGCTGTGCCGTTTCATTTGCTCATTTTTGAAGCTGTGGTTAACATTGCAGGGGAAAGCTGTGCAAGTAAGCAACGTGTTTTTCACGAATGTGCAAGGAACGTCAGCTGGGCCAGAAGCGATTAAGTTGGACTGCAGCTCAGACGTGCCCTGTCAGAACATTCAACTACAAAATGTTAAGTTAACCTCGTCAACTCCAGGCAAAAGTAAGGTTTATGGTACATGCCATAGTGCCATGGGACGATTCGGTTCTATACCTCAAGTCACTTGCAGATGAGACATGCCCACATCATATGCTTCCTTTTTGTATTCTACCACATTCCACCCAGCTGGATTTATTTCAAGCATGAGTGCTGGTGTCAGAATGGATGGATCATTATTCGGAACAAATAGAATTGATAATTATTTGGACTAATAAAGTTTATGAATAAATAATATTTCGACAGGATGGCTTTTATGGTGTTATTAAGTTAGTCTTTATGTGAATCACAACTTAAAAACCCACCCCCACCCCCCTCGCCCCGCCCCGCCCCGCCCCCTGGCGCCCCCTTCAATTAAACATGATAAATCCTACAAATTAATAGAAACCCATTTTACGGTAAATACCAACTCTAATTTTTTTTTATTAGACTATTCTAGCAAGATGTGAAATGTAAAATTGCCTACGTTCACTACTTATAACAGTAATTTGGAACTACAACAAATGATTCAATTCTTCCCAGCTTTTAGCTTATAAGTTTCTCTAGAAGCCGAAATCCTACAAACAATTTAGTTTCTATACCATAAACTTAAAAAAGAAAAAAGTACAAGCAATTTGGGATATCGGATATTGAACATTGAATATTAAAAAGTATAATTTATCACGTATTTATTTTAGATTTCATGGAGGTGATATTACTGACTTGGAAGTTATGTATGTTAATATATATATATATATATATATATCTATCTGTGTGTATGTGTATGTGTGATCATTATGAATTGTGCGTAGTAATGTTTACGTACAAATTTTACCCATTTTATGTGAAGAGTAAAGTTAAGAGGGAAAAGTGTTATTTGGTTTTTTTCCATATTAGTCACTACTAATGCATAATTACAAAACAAATAATAGATAAAGTCAAGGGGAAAAGTGCAAATCTCCCTGCACCAACTCATACATTATTTTCAATATTTACTTGATACTACTCTTAAAAGTAGTATTTTTATCTTGTAAGAGAGAATCCACTAATTAAAATCTCTTTTCTCCGTTCTAATTCCGCAAGCCTCTAATAATCGGCATAATGACATAACAGAATAAACTTAACTTTATACAATATTTAAAGTCTAATATGAACTTTCAAAAATCTAATATAATTATCAACCTCTAAAAATTTTTAAACTTCAAACTTGTTTGTAGTCGTAGAGCTAACTAAATAATACACCAAGGAAGAGCAATAACTGACTATTACACTCGAAAACCAAATCAGTTATAATCACTGAATCGGGATTGACAGACTTCTCTCACGTAGTAGGATTAGTCAGAAGCATAAAACTTGAGTCTAGAAAAATTAAGGGGTGAGTTTGACAACCTAGTGAATAGTAATACATATTTATATGATAAGTGATATATATCATATAATTTTTATCATAAAACAGACTTTTCAACATATACGAGTTATGAAGTTCAAAACAAAGAATTAAACAGAAACACATATAACAGAACGGGGACCTCTTGGTCTGCCAGTACACATATACACAAGTTTATCATATCAGATCCACGTCGTACTCTAGCACCACACTTACTAGCTAGGAAGACAGGCCAAAGTGCAACCAATCTAACGCTTACTATTGTTAGCTGCAGTGTTCTAACCGTTCGATACTTCCTTAAAACATTTTCCAAAATTTACTAGAAAACAGTTTACAACTTTTCAACTTGTGCAAACATCATAGCAACAAAAATTAGTTTGCAGATTTCCAAATGTTCAAACATATCAGGAATCAAAACTAATAGTTTAGCACATTTCCAAACAATTTAGAAAATTTCATATACATCCTATGTAAGCTTTTATAACATGTTAAATTTCAATTTCGAAATAATTGAATTTAAAAAAAGTTCATATAAAACTGAACATTTAGCAGATACGGAAAAATAACAAAACATATAAATATGTATTACTACTCATAAACAATGGAGAACCACAAAACTTGAGTTTTGGCATTTCGACTTCACGAGAGTCGATCACTCAATCTAAAAATAACCAAATTCTTATTTTAGAATATAATTTGTCTCTTAATTAACTCAAATTCAAACTCCCATCAAAACCTTACTATTCTCTTAGATTTTCATGTTCAAACTTGTATTGAAAATTTTTAAAGTCTTGAACCGATCACATAATTCATATCCTAAGTATCAAATTCTTGAACCGATTCATAAAACAATAAACTTGTCTAATTATCCTTTAAATCAGTCATTAAAATGCTAAATCGGTCATGAACCGGTCACTAGAAGATTGAACCGATCATGAATTGGTCATAAAATCCATTGAACCAGCCATGATATCATTTGATTTTCACTCCTGGAATTTTTCCCATTTTTCTGTCTTCCTTTTATTTTTTTCTCCATTTTCCATTTTTTTACCATTATTTGGAAATTTAAAATTATTATTTCCATGGTTTTTTATCCAAGAATTTTCTAAAAATCATATAAATATTATTTCATATTTTTCCCAAATTTTCATGATTTTTCTCAAATTTCTCTCATTTTTCTTCTATTTTTCCTCATTTTTTTTTCTATTTTCTACTATATTTAATTTATTTATTATTTTCTACTATTTGGATTCGGATCCCAGATCTGGATCCTACCCACACCTAGAGCCCAATATCCAAAAGGGCTAAACTCTCTTACGGGCCTAGTCCATAGGCCATGGCCCAAATTATTATTTCATTTTTTTTCCATCATTTCTAATTTTTCTGTTTTGGGCTTGGTTTGGCCCAATTGGCATGGCCCATTAAGGCCCTGAATCATGACCTAGCTCCTTATTCTAACCCAAGCCTGTTTGATTAGGCCCAACCCGAACCTAAGTCAGGTTACTTCTTCCTTACCCAATTAACTACAGAAAAACCAGAACAAAAATTCAAACATTTTACTTGAGAATTTCATAAAAGTTTGGAAATCAACCTTAGATTGCTGATCAATCCAATCCTTCAACCCTCAATGGCTCTTGAATCAGTGCACAACTGTAAAATTTTGCAAGAAATTAAGATTTCCTCCTTCAACAATGGTGGACGGACCTTCAAATGGGAAAAAGGAAAATTAAAATAATATCAAGAAAATTTTCTAGAAATTGAGTTTGGGTTTTCACTCTTTAGCTTCGGTTGACCCACTTTATAATTCATTTTTAATTTAATTATGAATTTAATTGCTTGAATTTAACTCCTTGAACATGAATTCTTCCATTTCGATAGTTTCTGGGTTTATTTTCCCTGAATTTGAAATTTAGTCCCTCAACTCTTACTCTCCTACAATCTGGACCCTGCCAAATTTTAACTAATTTTGTTTGGACCCTATTAAGTTCTATTTGATTCAAATCAACCCCTAATTTTTCCAATTAAACCCCCAATCTCTTAATTCTTTCAATTATGCCCCTAATATTTTAATTTATTCAATTATCCCAAAAAATTGGGTTTTTACAATCTTCCCCCCTTAAAAGAAATTCGGGTCCTGAAATTTAAATATCATAATACTCATTGACCTTATGTTTCAAACAGATGGGGTACCTTGAATGTATCACTTTTTTTGATTCCCCTGTCACTTCTTCTTTCAATTATTCCTTCGTACTACCTTCATAGATGCCATCTCTTTAGGTCCTTAATTTCTTGGCCTATTGGTCGACAATGGCTACATGTTCCTTTTTCATTTATTGAGTTAGCATCTAATTATATCTCTAGTGGTGCTAAAGCATATGACCGATCAGACAACTATTTTTGAATCATAGATATATGATGCACCAATGTATCAAGGACTAAATTTTCTTTCTTTCCAAATCTCAAGATACTTCTTAAGGGTAAAACTCGTAAGAACATCTAATCTCTCACTGCTAATTCAAGCTTTCAACAATGTTGATCGACATAAGCTTTCTACCTGCTCCAAGTAGCTAATATTAGATGTCTAGTCAGTTGTAACTCATTTGTCACATCATATAATAAATCTAGTTCTAGGAGTTTAGCTTTTCTTATCTCAAATCATTCTATCAGAGATTTACAATAGCTTCCATACAATACTTCAAAATCTGCCATCTAGATACTTGCCTAGTAAAATCGATCAGTGGGGAGTGAGTACTCCAACTATTATCAAAATCCATACACATGATTGCATTATAGTTCTTAATATCTAAATAGGCAGGCCAGCTATGTATTTCTAACATTTACTCTAATCAAACAGAACTTACTTTTTCATATCTCACCTATACAGGTTCTCTTACAAAGATGGTTATAAAAGATTTTCTTAATATAGCAAAAAATTGACTCACACATCACGGTATACCTATACATAAGTAAATTAATGCAAATTCACATAATAATCTACACATAAGAGTAAGTCGGTTTAGGATTAAATAATACACCTGCCTTAAATAACCCAATTGTGATCATACCTCTACTTAGGCCTCTTCCTCCTTACTATTTATTGTTTGGCTCATTACCTAAAGTATTTTTCTTACAACTCACATTGATTTTCCAAAGTTTTTATCAAATTTAAACCTTGCACTTCCCAATGCATCAAACCTCACATCAGTTGTTAATCACTCATAAAGTGAGTACAATTATTTCCAAACTATAGATTTTCATTTCATCTCTTAACCTTGTACTTATTTTTCTGGAATCATCTCTTTATACTATATCAGTAATACTATCAAATCTCTACTCTTTTAACTAAATGGTTAGACTGCCAACTAATTCTATCTTTGAAAACTCTTAATCCTTACTTTTGCCTTGAACAATCTATTGATAAAATTTATGATTATTCTAAGGGTCCCTCAAATAAATCTCAAACTACTAAGCCTCTCTTAGTTTTAATGAAACCACAAATCACATCATCCCAAGTTTACTTCAAACAGTCTATATAAGCAACTTCAAATTATCTCAAACTCCCAATATAACTCTTGAATCTTTAAAATCCTCCAAGTTCAAGTCTATCAGGCTAACACATATCTTTATATCACTTTTAAGTTATTCAGTCGCTAATTCTCTTTCCTTGCAAAAGATCCATATCCTTCAAAACCCTTAAGTTGTTTCCTTAGA